GTTGATAACTAATTTTTCAGTCACAGTTGTGTGTTCCAGAGTGGATAAGACCTGAATTTCAAATTCAATGCAACTGAAAAATCAAACTGTTATTCTTTCCTCATACATCAGAAAGAAAGGAGGAGGAATGCAGGAAAGCAACAAGCCCATTTTTGTTTCCTTTTTGCAGATCTACTGTGACCCACTGGCAACTTGTTTGCCAGACTTTTTTTTTTGTTTTTTTTTGTCCTGCAGCAAATGAACAATATGCCTAATTTCACTTTAGAAGTTTTATTATGGTTTATTATTGTTCTGACTGATCTCTCTTGTGGGATGTTCTCTGGCTTCTCTTTCCTCTCAGTCTCCTTTGACCTGTGAAACTTCTCATCACCCCATCTAGGGATGCAGTATTGGCTGGTTAGAACATTGGAGCTCATCCAGGTTTCTTCTTGTGATCAGGTTGATGATGAATGATGAGCTATTCTAGCTCCTGGGCCATAAAAACTCTGCCTTCCCCTTTCTAGGCCTGAGTTTTTGAACGCAGAGATGGGGAATGAAACCTGGATATATTATATGGCAGTGCAGAGCATACTGCCTCCATGGCATTTCTTCAAACAGAGAAGCCCTTAACCACAACAAAAGTGAATCAAAATGTTTTCTAAAGTGGATTTTGATCTCATGAAAATGTCCTGTTAATCTCTGCAATGATGTCACGTCAAACTGTTTGATTTTTGTTAATAAGATGTAAAATGTAAATGTTACTTGATGGGGGGAGGGTGGTTTTATTTTCTGAAATACTACAAGTAAATTGGTGTGAGCTAAATGCATGAGAGCACTGTGGAAATAGGATGTAATAGTGAGAACTCTGTTTTTCCTATTTATTCTCTCTCTCCTGCCAATTACCTTCAGTAGGGGGATGAGTGGTGAAAAGGATTCTTCTACCATCGATAGTGATAGGAGCAACTTTACCAACTCAGCTCTTGCATAGCCTGCCCCTCCTCAACTAGCCCTTCTCAGCAACAAGATGTGTAAGACCAGAAAGGGATCCCCCAGCAGCAGAGGTGCTGAACTGGAAATTGGAGATGGTCTGGTTCCAGCTTGGCCCAAACCCCATCCCAGGACTCACTAGCTGCAGAAGCATTAAGCTTGGGAGGCAGGGTAGGGACTGGAAGCTGCTGTGCAAATGTGGATCCTGCCTAGTCTGTCCACCTGACATTGGGACTTACCAACTGTGGGTGTGGTGCAAGCTCTGAAAAGTTCCATGTGCCACTGGCATCAACAACGTAGGGAGAGCCAAAATTGGGAGTAGCTGTACCAGTGTGGCTCTGGCCTGGTGTATCCTCACTGACCAGATTGCCCTTTTATGCTGCACAGTCCTTATAGAAGCTGAAGACCCTCCTTGCTGCTATGGTTTTGGAGTCATTGAGATAAATTGTGCTTGACTGTAATACCCACATAGATTATAAATGGTTATTAAAAAGTTTGTTATTAAATGAGGCTGTTAATTTTGTATAGTTGAAGTCAGCCAACAAACTTTTAAATACAGAATTTATATCTTAAATTAACGTCATTTCTAATAGTAGAAAGTCTAGATAGAGAACACCTATTAATTCGTTCAGTTTGTCTCCCTGCCAATGCAGGATGGTTACCTAACATGTGTTCTCGTGGGCTTTTTTTTTCTTTCCCTTGATTTTTCAAAGGTCCCAAGTAATGGGGCTTCTACTTATTCCCTTATGCAGGCAAATTCATTTAATCGTCTGAATGTAATTCCTCCAATTCAACTTAATTTCCCCCCCTCCCCCCTTCCCGTTTCTTAATTTTAATCCCATGACTCTTATACCACAGTCTACCTCGCTGAGTAATTCCTTTCCTTCCTTGGATGCTTGTTGGACTGTTACGACCTTACCTTATCTGTCATCCCCCTATTTCACTAGTGACTTTTGTTGCTCTTTGTTTCCTCAAATTTCTCTGTCTTTCTGGTAATATAGTTGCCAGACATGAATGCAGTTTTACGGGTGCAGGTGTATTAGAATCGTAGAGAGGAGGATTATTGCTTTGCTGCTATATGCCTTGTTATGTTTGTGTTTTGAAGGCCTACCCTGCATGGGCCTTTTTGCAGCTATAACACATTGCAAACTAATGTCTAACATGTTTTCTAGTATGATTTCCTATTCTCTTTTTAGCATTATTGCTTTCTAGGTTTCTCAGTCCAAATAAGTATGTGTGTTCTGGAATATTTCTCGGGAATTGGTAATAGAATTTGGAGCCTCTCACCTCTGCATTGTTGGCTTGGGTCCGTACCAGGCTGGTAATGATCAAAAGTCATTGCCATCTATTAACTCCTTTTGGTGATCTGTGAAATTAATGGGAGGTCTCAGTCCAGCTCTTAATAGACAGGAGTCCATTCATCATTCACACTAAGTGGCTCCCTTCTTGGCAGTGAGCAGAGGTACAAAGGCACAGATAACAACCTACTCTCTTACTCATCCTGGCTGATTTTCAGTCAGTGTTGGAGCGTATGTTACTCAAAAATTATCCCTTTGATCAATCAAAATATACCACTGATGTGTCTTAGAAAACACCATGTACAGTTCTTGCCTGCAAAGTCCAGGACACCAAGGCAAAGTCTTCAGTTGGAGGGGTGAGATGGGGGAAGGGTTGTAGGGAAGATGATTTTGCACTGGGAAATATTTTCATTGATTCCTCTAGAAGATAAGAAGTAAATGGGCTAAATGAGACAAAATGGACAGATAAGCAGAATGCTTAAAATGACTTTTTACTATACATTTTATAAAATACCAAAATGTGGAGAAATACGTCATGGAGTTTGTTTTTCAAAAGTTATATTCATTGCTAAGAGTCATCTATAGAGATTAGATTACTGTAATGCACTCTAAATGGGGCTACAGCTTAAATCAACCTGGAAAGAGAAGCAGGTGTAGAACAGGGCAGCCCGTTTAGTAACTGATACATTTTTCCAGCCGTACATAACACCAGTGCTCTAGCTGCTGCACTGGCTTCCTGTTCGTTTCTGTGTCAAGTTTAAGGTAGTGAATCTGAACTATAAAGCTTTAAGCGGCTTGAGGCCTGACTTTTTGAAATACTGCATCTCTCTCAGTCAGCGAAGGCACTCAAGCTAGATGGATAAAAGAAAGGGAACTGCTGGTAGGACAACTTCCATGCAAGGCCCTCAACTTCTGAAGTCACTTGGGTCTAAAATAGCCTTCCAGCATGAGTTTAGAGACATGTTGCATGTTGTTACTTATGGGAAGGGGGCATGCAATGGGGGCTGCATTGATGGGCTCAATACAGCATTGGTTGGGGGTGGAAATCTGATTGGTTATTCTCCAGTTTGTTTTGAGGAAGCTGTTGGCTTCATCTTTTAAACATGTCAAAGGCACAAAAAGACCACCCTAGTTCATGTGTAAACAATGAGTTAAAGGTAGTTTCGAGTAGTACACCTGCTCTGGGGTCCCAGTGCCAATTCTTATGGTTTTACTATAACATTTTCTTTTTCTTTATTTATTTTTAAATCTGCCCCTGTGTGAAAGAGCCCCAGGGGAAACTGGCTAATCATGGTATTGTCAAAAGCACAAAGTAATTTTTTTTAAAGGAAAATATGTTTTTCTAATCTCTGTCTATTGGTGTACTTAAATGCATTATCACTGTACAATTATACCATTCAGTTACAACAATCTGTGTGTTACTTGTAATCAATAAAAAACAAACAAAAACAAAACCCCAGAACAAAGCAAATTATTTTTTAGGTCCCTGTAGGTATACTTTGTAACAATTTCTCAGTAAATACCATATTTTCTTGATGTATATGTACAGAAATCATCAGTATTCTTTATTGTGACGCACACACCATAAACCTAAATGATGCTTTACATAAAAATAAAAGGTAATTGGTGAAATCCTGGCCCCATTGAAGTCAGTGGCAAAACTATTGATTTCATTGGGCCAAGATTTCATCCCTCATTTTTTACACTGAGGAATTTATAATCAGCAAGAATGGTATGTCAGTGAATACTATGCAGTAGTGCGCGTTTGCACAGTTTGACCCTGGGTTAAATTAAGACATAATGACAAACACTAAATTGGCTATGGAAGGGATAGGAGGAAGGGAAGGCACAGTACTATGATCAAGTGGTTGTTTGGATTATTAATGTACATGTTTTGATATACAGATTTTTTTTTTAAATCTGCAATTAATTTGAAGGGAAGATTAGTGTAGTTCTAGGGCTAGGCTAGATGAGGTAGTGTCTTTCCTTTGTTTACATTAGATTTTGATGAAGAATATAGTCAAGAGGATGGAAAAAAATTCCTAAAAACTTATGCCCCTGCACCAACAGTTTTTCCCTTTCTGTTATCTATGAGATTTTAAAACACATTTTATTTAAAAAAAATTATAAACTTCTGGGCAGTTTTCTTTTGTGACACTATCAAAATGTTACAAGGAAACAAACTTATTTTCTTCCACTGGGTAGTTAAAATCCAGGTAATTTATTTAATGGAAATGAATGTCTCTTATTTAAAATGTTTGTTGAATACTTTAATATATTTGTCAATAAAACAACATAGTGGTACGTTATACAAGAACATTATTGTAAGTTTGAACTTAAAAGTTTTTTTTCATTTTAATAAAAGGTAGAAAGGGCAGCAGTTTTAATTGGCACAAGTTTCAAAACACACAAACGTGAAATGACAACTGCTTGAAAAATCTTTCAAAGCATCATGACATGGCAAAATTTCTTTCCATGTCACTATCCATGAATGTTATAAAGGGTCGATTCAGTCCAAAAGAGCAATAAGCCTTGCAGGTCTAGTGTAAGTGTAACTAATACAGGCTCTGGTCAGGAGTTACCATGCATTACTAATGAGAGAAGCACAGCCAAAAAGTTGTCTGCAACATTTCCAGAGCTCCAGAAGCTGGATGTGGCTAGGAAGCTTGATGTTTCTTTTGAATTCTCTTCCCCTTTTTTTTTTTTTTGCCCTGCCTTATTTAAATTTTTCAGATATCTAAATTTATAAAAGATTTATACATTCCAGAGACACATATTTCTAAGATGCCATCATAGTCAAGGCCACCAATTTGGATATATTTCATACTAAGAAGCGACCCTGAAATGAATATTGTGGGAAAACTCAATTTAATGATACCCTGGAGCATATTCTTGGTTCATTCTCTGCTGTTCTCTTTGCAAGGTAAGAACTTTTATGCTCAATTTTTACACTAAAAATCTTTTAGAAAGACTTCTCTTAACAATTTAGTAATACGGTTACTTATTTTTCTTTCATTGTAAAGCAAATATTTCCTACTGCCCATGGCTTAATTAAACAAACAAACAAACCAGTAATACAGACTTAATATATTTACATCACACACTTTTACTGCTTTTGAAACTAAAAAGGCTTTGATTTTTTTTTAATTCAGACTTTAATGCTTGAATTTTATACAGAATGATTGGTAAAGAACAAAATTATTTTTCTTGGCTTTCTTCCTTCTCATTATTGTCAAATGTGTTATCAGATTGATGTAGGCTTAATTGTTATGAACAGGATATGGGTTTGCTCAAGACTTGGACTGCACCTGCAGTGTGTCTGAACATTTTTTATAACTCTAGAATAAATATTTGGCAAACTGATTATATAAATTCTCCCAGCTGTTGTCATCACACATGCTAATAATAGATACCATAGACAGCTTAGAAAAAGGATTCTGAGGATAACAGAGGTTTTTCAAGCATTGTAACTTTCACATAGCTTGAAAGTAAAAATATTCTTAAAATGAAAGTAAATCTGCATGAAATCTAGAGAGAGATTTAAACATATTGGACTAAAGGTTTATAATTATGTTCAGAAAAGCATTACATTGAAGCCTGATCCTGAGAGGTTCTGAGCACCTTCCATATTTGATGAGCTTCAGTCTGATCCTGCAAGGGGCTGAGCATTCATCACTTCCACTGTCGATGATGGGAGTCAAGGGTGCTTAGCACTTTGTAGGATTGGGCCCATTGGAAATTGTAGGTTCTCAGCACTTCTCAGGATCAGATTCTGAAGACGAAAGACATCAATCACTCAGAAAAAAAGTGTTTCTATCTTTGCTGGCAGGGAGTAACTTTGCTGGCAGGGAGATGGAAGGGCTGCATAAATGCTTTCTGGAAAACTTATTGTCATTAGCCCTCTTCTAAAGGACAAACCTCACTCTTGTTTCTTAATCCAAAGTCAGCTAAACATTTGTCTGCATGTCAAATGGAGAAAAAAATGGTTTAATTCCATCACTTTTTATCCAACAGGATCCTATTGCGAGTTTTCTCTTTTGAGAAGAACACCAAGGTGAGTGTGCATTCCTCATTTGCAGAGTTTTAAAAGCAAATGTGGGTGAAATCAGTAAGGCTTGTCTAATATGATGGAAGTATAGGAAATACAATACGACCTTGTGTAGAACACCTCTGACTTTTAGTAACTTAGACATAAAGTATTTCTTCCCTGTAATAACTCTTCCCAAAGAGCTTGTGATTAAACATGTAAATCCTTTTTTGAAAAACAAGTGCAACTCTTTAGTAATCACAAAAAGATGGTGTTCCACAGGGGCCCAAGTAAGTTCACAGGATGAGTTTCTTATATGACTATTCTCATATCTGATAAAATGTACATTAATTAAATACCAGTAGATCATTTTAGTTTCAGGATAAAAATAATAAAATTCTAGTGACACACAGAAAGGAATTTCCCCACAAATAAAATGTGTTATACAATAAATATAGTCTCAGTGATGATAATTCATTTTCTCAGTCTGAAAAAAGCACTTGCAAGGAAAGTTGTATGTAATAGTTCAAACCAAAACAAAACTAGGGTATCTTCCTGATCCCATTGAAGTCAATGGAAACTTTGCCATTCAATAGAAGCAGGATTAGAACTCAGCTATGGACATCTAATGACTTCTAGTACATGTAGTGATCACACACTATATTGTACAAAATCTGGCCTGTTAAATAAAACAAAGTGTATTTTGTAGATTGAGGCCATTATTTCTGAAATTAATTTAATTATTGCCTATTGTAATTTAGTTACCATTGGAAGGTAACCGTACACTTTTAACACCATGACCACTGCACATGCAAATAGCACTGGTGCCCCTCAACAACATGTGTACCATTCAGGCATCTAATGAAAGAACTTCACTATTTTGTGTCCCATATTATAAGCCCAATTTGCTTATCTCCCCTCCCCCATAAATACCAGGTACCTCCTTGAACAAGTAGCCTGTGTTCAAGAGCAGAGATCTGATCACTCTTGAATTTTGTAAAACGAGACTATGAAAAGAAAAAAGTCACCTTTTTAAATGTTAACCCAAGAAAGACCTCTTTGATAACGTGCTGGAAATCAGAGAGAGACACCTCTCCCTAGGGAACCACTTATTCAGGTTGCTCAGGGACCTTTGATTATACAAGATCCTTTTTGTTTTCTTCCAGAAACCAGTTTAATGCAACTCGACAGAAAAGAGATCTCTTAGCAGCTGAGGTAGGTTATACCACAGAAAGAAAGGGGGGCAAAAATCCCCCTCCTTTCTGCAACGGGGCTTTGCTGTTGTCACAATGAGGTCTTTGTAAAGGAGAATGGAAATGGTAATAACAAGACAGGGATGAGGAGGAGAAGCTTTTCCATACCTGCTTTCCTCAAACTTAAATCCACAGCCTCATTCATTCTTAGCAAAATGCTTCATGAATTACCCACCCTAACACACACCGTGGGGACGAGGGTCTTTGTTAAATCTTTTGTGAGAGCAAACAGAAACTTGGGAGTGACTGTTTGATGAAAAGCACAATAATGAAACCATAGCCAAACAATTTTGCAAATAGTGTTGTTATTGGGCAACGCTCCTGGGCTGTGCAGCAGGTTCCCAGGGCAGAGCCTGTGCCTCTGAAGACCATCCCCAGTTCCATTGCCTCATTGCTGTTAAGATAACTCAGGGAGGTAGGAGGTCAGGGAGTAGACCTGACAATTATTCCATCTGGGATGAGTTTACTCTTCTATGAACTAGGATTTTGTTGTGTGTCAGTGAGAGATACAAACCCCTGTAAATTCCTGCCATTTGCCAGTCCTGGAGAAAGCAACTTGTTCACTGGCACAGGAGTGTGGGGGTTAGCATTTGGGATGCTAGAAAGCCACATAAAGTGCTGAGTGCCTGCTTGGGGCAGATGGCTAGTCTTGTGCTAGTATCTCAGTGAGCTATGCTCCTTGTCCTCCTTCTGATATCTCTGTTGCTGTGTTCCACCCCAGGGAGCACTGCATTTCAGTGATGGAGAAAGTAATTCCTTACATATGGTTTACAATTTTACCTAGTGTTTACAAAGTGCTTTGGGATTCTCTTGGATCAAAAGCTCTATATACACGCAAGATCATTTTATGTATTAAATATCAGGGGGTAGCCGTGTTAGTCTGTATCTACAAAAACAACAAGGAGTCTGGTGGCACCTTAAAGACTAACAGATTTATTTGGGCATAAGCTTTCGTGAGTAAAAACCTCACTTCTTCGGATGCATAGAGTGACCCACACTCTCCATGTGTCAAAATCTGTGAATGCGGCGCAGCCGCAGTAGGTAGAGGATGATGGCCAGCAGCACCACCAGAATGCAGACGAAGAAGAGATAGTGATTGTAAACGAAGGACAGGCGGAGCCAGGGGCTGTGGGCCTGTCGACTGCTCTCCTGCCGGAGTTCTGAGTGGCAGAAACCGTGTTTTATAGAGAATGGCTCCCAGGGTCCACTGCACCTCACGGTCGTACACCAGCTGGGCCGTGTGCAGGCTGGAGTAATCCAGGGGAAAGTGGAAGCCCTCATGAAGGACTTGGTACATCCAGGCAGATTTAAAGCACTGATACTTGACCCGATGCTGGTCTGCATGTGGTGAGTACAGGCCCTCTTGGAACCGTTGAGTCAGCACTGACCAGCTCAGGCCGCAGTAATCCTGGGCAGCGCGGGTGAAGCTGGGTGCATGGTAGTGGCCCCCGAGACGCAGCACGTCCTCAGTACAGTAGAAGAACTCAGAGAAGCCGTAGAACTCGCTGTTGTTGAAGTCAATGGGCGCCTGGTAAGTGTGTGTCAGAGTAACTCCCTGCTCTCCATGTGTCAGTATATAATGCCTGCATCTGTAACTTTCACTCTATGCATCCGAAGAAGTGAGGTTTTTACTCACGAAAGCTTATGCCCAAATAAATCTGTTAGTCTTTAAGGTGCCACCAGACTCCTTGTTGTTTATGTATTAAAGTAATTGTCCTATCCTAAAATTGCTTCAAAATCTCTAGAATTGAATTAGTCAGACCGTTTATGAAGTATTAACACTCTGGTTTTGCTTTTTTGTTTCTCGGATAGACTGGAGCAGATTCTGCTGGGTCTCACCTTCATGGGGACCTTACTCAGGGGCAAAGTCCATCAGGAGGTCAGTACCATGTTAGTAATTCACAACCTGTTTGAAAGGATTTCAATAAAATGCCATCTACCCATCAACTATCCCTTGTTACCAGAGATTGTGTAACTTTTGATAGTATTTACCTTCCATGCAAAACCCAGTGCTATCTAATTTTGTTATGGTAACTTGTACTTCTGACTTGCTAAATCACAGAAAATAGTTATTAAAAACAATCAGTTTCTAATGTACCTGTTAATGTGGCACCCAAGCACCTAATGAAACAAATCCTTCATTGCTTTACAGTTATTTCCACTCCCAGTTTTCTTGTGTGTCACTTTTGGGCCTTGTCAGGTTGAGTAGGTATGCTGAGTGGGATTGATAATAGCAGTTGTCCATGGAAGACCAACCTAAAGCCTCTTAGAAGATTCTAGGTGTCAATCAAACTCTTCAGTTTGTCCGGAGTGAATTGAGGGGTTTCACAGATTATACATTCCCATTGCTGTTATCTAATATCCAGCATGCAAAAATGATCAAATGAGCTGAACAGTGACACTTTCTTAAGACAAGATGGAGTTTTTGGTTTCTTTCATATCAATGAATACAAATCATGGTGAATCATATAGTGGTGTTAGTTTTAAAAGTGTTTCTTTGTAAGTGAAATGGGGGAGCGAGACAGTATTCTCTGCCTGGTCTATATTTTCAAATGGTATTTGTCTTTATAAGTGTTTGAAAAATAACTTTAACGTGGAAGGCTGCTATGTTTTCTTTCAGTCTCTTGTCCTCAAGAATGCCTTAATGGAGCAGTTTGCACAGAGGCGGGTGTATGTGATTGTCAGATGTTTCAGGCTCATGGTGAAAGGTGCCAAATTGGTAAGTTTCAGTAATCGGCAATGGAATTGAGTTTCAGATTAGAGTGAGATTTAGGGGCAAGTTTGTTAAAATAATACCTGTTCAGAGCACTTTGCAATTGCCTTATAATCAAGCTGTAATTCTAAAAGGAGGCTGGGTGGCTCAAATGCTGTATTTCAGAGTGAGATATGGGAGTACAGAAGAGCATCAGATGTTCCTGAATTTTATTAATACTTGTAACAGTATCCCAGTGCATCATAATGTACCATATCTGCTTTTACTTACTTAGCAGTGTCACCAAAAATATCACTGCATTTCCACTTAAAGTGCCCTATTGCCCATTCTGAAGATAGGATGTTCAAATATTTTAATGGGACAAGTTTTGGCAGGTGTAATCTATTGGTAGTAGAATTGGGGTAGAAGTTGTTTGTCCCTATCATGATTCCTCAGGCTCTGTAGAATATCTGCAACAGCAGCCATGGAGGGACTTTCTAAGGTCAGGCCTAGAACCTCAGCTGGTGTCAACCAATGTAGCTCCATTGAATTCAATGGAACTGCACTGACTTGTGTCAGCTGAGATGGTAGGCCAAAGCGGCTGTTGAAACTGAACCAAAATCTTAGCCTTGGTTCACCCTGAGCCCATACACCAACCACTGACCTAAACTTAAATGATATGATCATCCTCTCCTTTGTAGAGTTTTGTGGATAATGGATTTTTTTTGGTTCACTGGCAATTTCAACAAGTTGAAAACAAAACTAATTTTGTGTTAAACAAAATGTTTTATTTGAAACAAAACGTTTCATTTCAATTTCAATCATTTTCAGATATATTTAAATTTTAAAACCAAAATTAAAGGAAATTTCAAATAAAAATGTTTCAAAATGAAAAATCATAATGTTTAGTTTAAAAATGTCAAAATAAAAAGTTCTGATTTCTCCCCACCCCAGAATTTTAGTTACCCCCTTCCTTCCCCCCCCAAAAGGTGAAATCAACATGAATTCATGAAATGATTAATTGTCACCGAATCTGCCTTTTTTCTCTAAAAAAAAAAGTTTGGGTCCAAAAATTTTGCCCAGCTCTACCCATTGGTCCATTCCTAGTTATAATTTAAAGGTGAAATCCAGGCTGTCAATGGCAAAATTTCCATTGGCTTTACTGGTCCACAGTTCCCACCTAAGAGTTTTAAAACTTGTCTTAATCTCATTTCTTGAATGATAAGCATACATCAGCACAGAAGATAGTTTTATTTATCTATTATGCATGTAATATCTTACTTTTGTACATGTCTCTGACACTTGTGTAATTTTGTTGTTATTTTGCATTTTATAAGCTCATCTTATTTATTCTCCCCAGTACCTAATGATGGCAAGGATCGAGATGGAATTTGCAAATCATGGGGACAGTATCACTTTGAAACATTTGATGGCATCTACTACTATTTCCCAGGAAATTGTTCCTACATTTTTGCAAAAGATTGCAGTGCTCCAGAACCTCAGTACACTGTATGGGTAAGTGTGTGAATATGGATTTTGAAATGAAATGCAAAAGATTTATATAACATAGAACTTGTGTTATAGCATAACAAAAAGAATTCAACAGAGACAGTAAATGGATCAAAAGGTGGTTTATTTCCTTTTTAGATTTATAGAATGTGCTGATCAAAAACTCTGAAAGTACACATGCAATAACATCTACAAATCTCTGAAATATAAAGTAAACTGTATTATAAAATGATCTCTTTAGGCAAATATGGGGAACTTTTCTCCTGGCTTCAAAGTAGTTGACTGTCTCCTTCATTAGCCCCAGATCGAATCATTTAATGTTAGTGATCAGTGCTCTGATGTCAAATGTTGAATAGCATCATTTGTTACGTACAAATGAAGTTAAGACTGGTATTATTCCAAAGATAGTAACTCTGATAACGGTGATAAAGAAATTGTTTCCATGACAGATTTGTAAAACTGCAAGTGGTAGTTATAGAGACAAATGTGAGTTGAGGAGATTTTCTGAAATATAGAGATTCTACTTACATTAAATGTGGTTTGACCAGGACAGGTGGACTGGACTAGTTTTGGGCATAGATGACCACACAGGATTTCATATCAAAGAGGCTTCCAGATATCCCCGGTGTAAAGATTTGAAAAGAGAAATTGATTAGGAGAGAAGATGTTCATTGAGCTAAACTTTTGTGCTATAGAATATATTAGGTTTTTTTTGGGTCTGCATATCTGCCTTGGGCAGGACTACATGAAAAACTTTTGTTGGTACAGTAATGCCAGTTAGAGGGGTGATTATTATTTTTTGATATCTCTGTGCTGGCAAAAGCATTTTTTTGCTGATATAAGTTGTTGACACTGTCCTAACAGAACTCTCAAACCAAGCGGGACCAAGCAGAATCAATACTTGGATGGAACACCTCCAAATAAACCCCTACTTGCTGCAGGAAGGGACGCTGATGATTCAATAGATGCCAGTCTTTTTTTCTAGGTCAATATTGAGAGTGCCCATACGGTGCTGGGGCTATTGTGTTGCTGGCGGTCCCATCTTTCAGAGGACACATGCCTTTGGGCAATAAAGGCCCACTTGCACTTTTCTGGGGTGTTCCCCTCAGTATCATTCCCAAACCCATAACTAGGTAATTATATTCTGCCTAAACCAAATTCTCTCTGCAGTTTCAATTGGATTCCAGTTCTTTTTTCTGTCTTAAGCTGCTATGTAATGATGCCGGGTGCTGTTAAACAGTTACTGGGTTTCATAGCAGCACGGGGCAAAGTGGTCTTCTAACCATGTATATCCCTGTATTAGTGATCCCTTGTATTGTTTAAATATTTATTTCTAAAGTTCTTTGGGATCCTTCAGTGAGAGGTGTGTAGAAATGTAAAATATTATATGTGTAAATTTATTAAGAGTTGTATGTAAATATTGAGCAGAAAACCACATTTGTTGTTAGTGCACGTGTGTGTTCTTCTCCTCTCAAGGTTCATAACAGCCCCCAGTGTGATGGTTCGGTGTATTCTTGTCTGCGGTCAATCAGCTTATTTTTTTCAAGCCAGGATGAAATAGTTGTTGTGGGACATGAAGTAAGAAAAGAAGGAATCAGGTAAATGAACTGACTGTTTTTGGAACATCTTACCACAGAAATGAAGTATTGGAATTGTGGGAAGGCACTCGAGTAATTTAGGCTGCATCCTCACTGCAAAGTGGGCTGGTTACCAGCCCGAGTGAAAGTGGAGCCTATACTCTAATCTACACCCACAGCCGCGCCAGCTAGCCTGGGCTGAAAGTACCACTAAACTTAGGGAGAGTTTTTTGTGTGTGGATGGGATAGGGACTAGGGGCAATATCAGGTAAGAGCTTGGCATAACCCTGCAGTGAAGACATACCCTCAGACGTCATATGGTAAGACACAGAGGTTATAATTATTACCGGTAAGTCAAATTCAGATTTGATGAAAGGAACTTAACTCTATTGAAACGTTGAGCGAGTTGTTCACTCACACCTGTCTGAGTTAGCCTATTCATTTTGTTATTTTCAGTGGTGGGCCTCTACAAGGCATCTGATTTCTGATTTTTCACGTGTCTGTCCCTTGACTGAAAGTTTTTCTACACTGGGAAAATGCATGGTGTTATAATATGTTAATTATTGGACTGTCTTTTTTAAAATGGTGTTAGCTAATCTTGGTTAACCCTTGGTCAACCCTGATATTATTTAAAATATGACAGTCAGTCATTGTCCATGCTGAGTGCATTGCCCCATTGTAGAGAAGTCTAAATTGAGTTCAGGGTCCTTAAGCTCCTTCTGTGTTACCATTTTGAAGCCCAAAATAGTTTTTGAGATACACCAAACCCTGAACTCCATCAGGTTTACCCATCTTTGTTTCAAATATAAGGGTCGATGAGTAGATCTGGTGTTCTCACGTCTGAGTTGTTACACCTGGTAGCTACAAGGATATTGCCATTAGTCCCAGAAGCAGCAACCTTTGAAGACAGAGATTCTGCAATACTAGAGTCTGGTGGAAATCCAAACATAGCTGTCCCCACTAACTGGACAGAGCTACAGGCATTTTAGAGGATATACTGTACATGGCTAATAATGTTTTCTGTGCTATTTAATCTTTGATTAAGCAAGGGTCTTATTCTACACACATACTATGTACAGAACAGTTATTGACTTCAAAGGGAGTTGTCTGTATTGAAAACTTGAAGGATATGGCTCCATGTCATTACCCTGTCAGTAACTGATATTTTTAAAAGTTTTTGGGCACATCTACCTGTTGCTGCTTCTGTTTACAAATGAATTAAAAGTGCACTTAGACTCTAAAAAGGAACTGTATGAATGACTTCATGGATCCCATGCTTAATGTCTCTGTCAATTACTCCATTTCAAAACTATTCAGTTTACAAGTAAAAAGATGTCTTTCCTAACACAGCAGTGCTGCAAACGCACCATGGGATTTGAAAGTCAATGTAGGTTCTTTCTGGTTTATGCATCAATACTGTATTGATTGTGTATGTGCCAGAAAATAATCCATTTCACTGAATTGATTGCGCAAAGTAACAGGAGTGACAGATATTGAAAACGTATTTTTGACAGAAAAGTAAACAGACTTTGAGGACACACGGGGAAGAGATCTAATGAGTTGGAAGGTGACATTTTATGTAATCTTTTTCTAGTTCTAGTCTCACTTGTCGTGTTTAAAATGGGTTGTTCTATTTTTCCAGATTGACATTGCCTCAGACAATTGGAAATGTTTTCATTGAGAGGCTGGCCGACTATATTCTGGTGAAAACTACCTTTGGTTTTTCTCTTGCTTGGGACGGAAGCTCTGGTATTTATATTAAACTGACAGAAGAACATAAAGGGAAACCTTGTGGCCTGTGTGGAAATTATAATGGCAATAAATCTGATGATCTGATAATACAAAATAGTAAGTGAAGAGACCAGAAATGCACCTTTCCTTTGTTATAAAAAAAAAAACAAAAAACAACAACCAGATTCTGTGGTCCTGATGTCTTGTAAATATGAGGATGTGCTCTAAAAGGTTGTGACTATTATCCATTTAAATTTATTTTCAGGTGATTTGAGTAGACTATATAGGGTCTGGTCCACTTTCCCCAGTCATAAATTTTAAGGAGTAGGGCTAGTTCAACAAAACATTTAAGTGTATGCTTAAGTCCTTTCCTGTTCAGCAAAACACTTACGCACATGCTTAATTTAATTGAGAAACAAACTTTTAATGACCAAAATACTATTGTTTTTGTGAAAGCAATGTGATGTAAAAAACAAACAAACCCAAATCAATATTTGGAAAGGGCAATAGTTCAGCATGCGGCTCTACATAGTTATTTTAAATAATATGTTGCTATTTTATTGGTTGGTGAAATACAGAAAATTGAAAAACCTTGTTGAGGAAGTTTATTTTTTTCCCCATTGCTACACTTTTATTAACATACTTTGCTGTGGTGGCAGATGGTACATTTTCAGAAGATGAATAATCCAGTGGCATCACTGTAGTACATCTGAGAGACTACGAGCTTGTGCTGTTGATTTCAGCAAGGGTGCCAGAGCTGAGAAAGTTAAAACAGCTTTTCTCTTCAACTGAATAGTGTTCTCTCTAGGCAACACTTTATATTGGCCATTGTCTACTGTAGATAATATTTTATGCACACCCAAGTGAAAAGTGTTCTGTGCTGCCTTTGTTTTAGAGCAGACACCGCTCGCAGCTGGTGAAACAAGAGGAGGAAGGTTGGGAACACAAGAGGAGCAGTTTCTCCCAAACAATCCCTGATATAAGTAAAAGTAATAATGGTATTTAACCACTACAGCAAACTACAGGGAGAGTTTAGTTTCTCACATTGGCTATTTTTTAAAATTACAAGTTTTATCTCAATATTACCCTGGCTTTTCTCCCTCTTTTCACATAGCTCTTGGGCGATAGCCAGGTGCTATTTATTGTACCAGGAGAGTGAGAAGCAGTTTATGTGTGTGCACATAGCCTTGATTTTCTGCCCAACAGAAACTGGTTGTATCCTCTCCACAGGGCATGTATCAGCCTCCAGTTATTTAGTGACATGGTACTGTTTGTTCTGTTCCAGACATTTTATGTCTGTATACCAAAGCATAGTACATTATCTGGCCAGTTAAAAATAATGGTTTTTTTTAAAAAATCATTGATTCACACAGAGTTAAAAATATAGTTTCAGTGTCTCTTTAGTTTACTGTTTATCATAAAACGCTTTCAAGAAGTGGTCTGCTTTCTGTCTCCACTTTCAGCATTACACAGTACTAATGGCACTATAATCTGGCAACTGTAATGGCAGAATTCCTGTCTCTTAGAAGTCAGAGAGATATGGATCACATTAAAAATTAAACATGAACTGAGTTTATAACACTGCACCCTGACACCATGTGTGCAAAAGAGAAGCAATCTGTTGTGATATTTTTCACAAGAATAAGATGTGATGGGTTCATAATACTTATAAATTGCAACTCTCTCTCTACATCTAAATGTTTCCAACTCTCATCAATCCTTTATGGTATTTCCATACAGGGCCGACTCCAGGGTTTTGGCCGCCCCAAGCAGCCAAAAAAAAAAAAAGCCACGATCGCGATCTGCGGCGGCACTTCAGCAGGAGGTCCTTCGCTCCGAGTGGGAGTGAGGAACCGTCCGCCGAATTACCGCCCCTTTCCGGAGTGGCCGCCCCGAGCACCTGCTTGCCAAGCTGGTGCCTGGAGCCGGCCCTGTTTCCATGCACCAGCAGTGTAAGATGAACTGTTCTTTGTAGTCTGCAGACTGATAACTCTCATTGGCCCCAGCTACACTACAGCTCGAACCAAATCTGGGGATCTGTTGTCCATATGATTGTCTTCCAATTTGGCAATGCAGTTCAGAATTGTAGGATCTCTGAAAGTGAGTTAAAGTCTTGGACACAGTTGCAATGGGGTCCCCGACTCGGTTATGGCTGTAGTGTTGCTGGGGCATTAGACATACCTCACAATCTACCAAAGTAATAGTAGAAAGTACATTTAAGAATTCAACATTTCTAATGATGGTAAAATAAACTGCTAAATACAGTGGGACAAGTAGAAAAATGGGACAATGCTACAATCCTAAAACTGTTCAAGATACAAAAATGAATCCAGATGGGGATTCCCCCAAACAAAAAAGTGAACAAAATTAAAAGGCATGCTACAGATTCTGAATACTTAAAAATAGTAGTTGAATCTTATTCTATTTTTGTTTTTCTTAATGGCCACTTTACACACCATCTCGTTGTTGTTGTTGTTTTCTTTATATGACACTTTACTCATTTTGATAGATCTGCCCAGAGGAGGACAATTCTATTTAACAGCAACTTTTGAGGTTTCAAAATTTGGTTTTGTTCATCACTGGAACAAAAGCAAAACCTTTTGAATGTTGAAAATAAAACAGAATTTGTCAGAATGTCTTTATTTGGAATATAATCCTGGGCTGTTTGATTCAGGAAGGTTTTCCAGGTACGGGGCTTGTGGGGGAGGTGGAAGGGAGAGAAGAGGGAAAGAGATTGAGACTCAGAGATTGGATCTCTTTTGACCAGAGAGCTAGAAACTCATTCTATAGCCTGAGTAAGAGGGCACTGGCCTGGCATGTAGGAGACCTACGTTTATGTCCCTGCTTTGCCTGAATCAGATTCTCCCCCTCCCAGGTCATTTCCAAGACCCCAGGCTATAGACTGTGAGAGTCTCTCTCTCTCTCTCTCTCTGGTTGGAAGTGACCAGAGAGCCTCAGTGATCCAAGAAACCTTGGTGATGAAAACTTTGTCAAAATCAATATGTCTCCACAAAACATTTCTGCTTTGATAAAACAGCATATTTTGACACAATTTCATTTTGTCAAAAATGTTCTGACCAGCTCTAAATTTCGACTTAGAAGATATTGGATTGGATTCCCTGTGTCCTAAAATGGTTTAATCTGGAGGCAATGTATGCAGGCTTTGATAAAGGGAATTGTAGATGCACCTCATTTTAGTATCCCTGGCTTCTGACCTATTGATTGGTATTGGTATCAACTGCTGCTGTGTCCCACAAAATAGAGGAAATGCACCTGTTTCACTCTTTTTGCACATTTAAGAGCATGAAGTAAATGTGGTACATAGTGCTTAGAGCAGGACAATGGGAATCAGAAAACCTGGGGTCTCTTCCCTCTGACATTGACTTGTTGCTTGGCCTTGAGCATCTGTTTCCTTATCTGTGGAATGCTGTTCTATTATATACTGGTTCTTATGTCTCCCTCTTCACCATAGTCTCTGGTACCTTCTAGCAGTGCGTTAAGTGATGGGACTAGCATCGGTCACATGTGATTTGTTCTTTCTCTCATCTTCTCTCCAAGGGGGAGTTGTGTGTGTAGTGCAGTATTTTGTTTTGGTAGGATTTTTCTTTTGAGGGGGCGGGTGGGGGACAGGAGAGATTGTTATACCCACTTTCCCCAAAATATATAAAGAGGTCCTTAAATAAAATGTATTAAAGAAGTACCAAAAACAAACAAATACTCATAATAAGAAATCTGCCTTTGACTCCTTATGAAGTTACCACAACTATATTTCCTGAAAAACTAGACATTTCCTGTTAATTCATTTTAGAATTTAAATATGGTATAAAAAGTTAACTGAAATTTAAAATAATTTTGTAAAGATCCCAAACTACTAACTGAATATATCTTATACATATAAAGTACATTTAAATTGTTTGGAAAATAACTCTAATATTTCATTTGAGGGGTTCCTCAGCTTTTGTGGTGTTGTTCTTGTGGAAAATGATTCTGTTCGATGTTTTTCTGAAGTAGGTGAATATACAGAAGACATTGCTGTATTTGCAAACAGTTGGTCTATACAAACCCCAGATGATGCAATTTGTGTGACTACTGCCTCAGATTTTTCTAGTCCATGTTCGGCTGACACAGAGTCCTCCGAGGTAAGTTGGTCAATGTACATTTTCATATTAGATGCATTATAGTGATTCACCTTCTCTAGCCTGTTTTATGTATTTCCATTAACAATAATTTTATAATAAAGTGCCCAGCCCTTCCCAAATCAAAGCACTTATGGCTCTGCATAGACCTAAAATTCAACACACGTGAAAAAATCATAAATGATTGATTTAAAATTAGATAAAATATTTTAAAAGGCAAATGCTGTGTCACCTGGTTAATAAATCATATTTTCTAACCAGTTATATAGGTGCATAAGAAATGAAATATAGTCATCTGCATGTTCTTTATTGATAATACATGAGACTCTTTAGAATCCTAAAGGACTTTCACACAAAGTGCCTGATACTGATCTCACACTGGTGAAGATCAGGATTAACTCCACTGTTGTCAATGGAACTATACCAGTGTTAGAGAACATGAAGGGGAACAGCATAAATAAGATCAGAATCAGGAAAACTATAGTGAGTATATCAAGCTTGTAGAGAAGAGATTGGTCCAAGGCAAAACACTGGCTCTAAACATTGAAACATTGGGAATGAGAAGATTTAGATCAGGCTTGTCATTAATGTAGGGACTTTTCCTAAGAATTTTTGAAGAACTGTATATGATGAAATTAAAATAACAAGGGATTGTTGGCCTACTTACAGTTATTTACTGCCACATTGGACTGTGGGTTTAATTCCCAGCCCTGATGCCTTACTCCTTCATTATCTGAGGAGTTTCAAGTACCGCAGAGGAAACATGCTCAGCTCCTGGGTGGAAGAGGATGCTTTTTATCACTTTGGCCAGTTTAGCTGTAGCATTGAGGGGCTATAGAAGAAATTCAATCCAGTCAAAACCATTCTGGGAAGAATAGTGACTGTGATATATTGGGCGAATGAGTGGAGATAGGAGAAAATGTGGGAATCGTCTCATTTTAAAAGGAATGTAATAGACACCCAATGGGGGAAACAAAAGTAAAAAGAATAATATTTGTATCATGAAGTATATGATAGCTGTTATTTAACTGATTTTTTTTTAAATGCACAGGCCATATTCTTCAAATGCCAAATACTCCTACAGTTTCCTTTTCTCAGCTGTCATGAAAGCGTAGACCCTTATTCGTATATTTCTAGCTGCATGAATGACCTTTGCAGGTAAGAAGGATGGTGTTCTTTAAACATTTATTTTCATTCTTTGAAATATTAAACAATAGCCAGAATGGTTTTAGATAGTGGAGTTTTTCAGTACAATTTTATTTTAGTAATTTCCTCTCCACATTTCCCCCAATCTCACCTCCCAGTGTTTCTTTATTTGATCCCAATAGTCGCTATAATCTTAATAAATAGTGAGTCAAATTCAAACCTGGTATAAAATGTTGCTACTCTCATAGACAACAATGAGTACTGCATCCTCTAATGCTAGGGATAAATTCAATCCATTATTTTTCCCTTAATTTCAGAGGTGGGTTTTTTTTTTAGTCTTGTTTGCTAATACCACCTGCATTTCCAACAGTGCTGGTTTCTGTTAGACCTTGTGAGATCATTTGAATTAGAAGTGATTATCCCCTCATGTGTACTGAAATTGAATAGTTGACCAAGCAATATACCTCCGCCTTTTTCAATAAAAATGATATCACTAACAAATAATCTTAGTGACATCACTATCCATGTTATTTATTTATATCTTTTACTACTTTATTTACTTTCTGCTTTCCTATTTATTTATTTAAGTGGGTACAGAAGGCAATCAGTGCAATGAATTGAAGAAACTCTTGCTTCCATTATACTTCAATATGTGACAAATGACTGGTTTTTCTCTTTTGCTTCGCAATGGAGATAGCAAGATACAGATTTACTAGCGTCATAGAGTTTAAAACCAGAAGGGACCACTCCGTCATCTAATCTGACCTCCTATAGACCACTGGCCACCAAAACACCTGCACACTAAACCCAACAACCAAAATTAGACTGAAGTAGACATAAGAGACTAGATGATTATGTGTTACACACAGACAATAGGAAGTAGCAAGGTGCACCAGTGCCTGGGGCCCCCTGCAATGGCAGGGAAATGATTAGGTGAGAGAGATCTTGGGTCTAAAAATGTTTTCACTGAAGCCAGTGGAAAAACTCCCATTGACTTCAGTGGTAGCAGAAGCCAGGCAGGATCTGAATCTTATTTGTAATGCCTATTTACATTTCAGTGACTTATTGCACCTTTTCTTTTGCAATGGAGAAAAATGGAAAGCAAACTTTCAGGATGGCATTGAGTTAATAAGGCAATATGCAGGAGGCTTTGTTGTTTTTTTTTTTTTTTTTTTTTTTAATTCATTCACACCTGTGACGTGAATGGTGTGATTATTCAAAACTTTGAGTGAAGTTTCTGTGTCCCAGGATCTCATTAATTTAGGCTTATGTTGCTTATAAAAGAGAACTCTCATCTTGTGGCTTAGTGTCAGGTTAAGAAGTTCCTTCTGGCACCATAGTTTATATGCCAAGTCACTCTTTCTATTAAGACTCATTTAATTGGATTAGATGAGGCAAGCTGGAGAGAGACCGATCACTGTGGAGTTTTGAAATGGTGACTTTGTAACAGGTATGTTGAAAGCACCAAAACACACACAATGCGATATAGTCTTAAAACTACTAATTTTGGAAACTTGTTCTTGTGCTGAAAGACGAATAAACCCTGAGACTATATATTATAACCTTTCCTATCTCAGAGATGTCTTGTTATGACTAGTCTATTTTGGTACAAAGTCCTTCACAGTGAACATCCGTTAACTTCTCACTTTAAAAAGTGACTCCTGTCCATGGAATACCTGAGCACAACCCAAATATTAATGAATGTATCCTTTGAGCAACCTGATGAGGGAGGGAATATTATCCCCATTTTGCAGACAGGGAAGGGAGGTACAAAGAGTGACTTTGAGCAAGGCCACACAAGAAGTCTGTGACAAAGCCAGCAGTAAGACCCAGATTTCCAGACTTGCAGGCCATTACCTTTAGCACAGGACCACCCTTCCTCTCACAAATTGTTTCTATTAATGAGCATTGCTAATCTTTTGTAATAAATGTTACTCATTCTTTGTTGTAACGTTAAAATAAAGCAAAAATCGTTTGTCGGGTCAAATGGTAAAAAAATGCAAAAACCTAATCAGTATCCCTAGTGGCTTTTTTAAGTGGTGCTATTTAAAGTCTCAAAAACTGTAACCCCTTTTAACTGTGCAAGGCCAACTCTGTGGAGAGTTCTGTAATGTCACGTAGCAGATATTTATGAGTATTAAATTTAGAATTTAGTGATGACAGGATTATTTTACCGCTTCAGAGTGGATGATGATGAAACTTACTGCCGAGCAGTGACAGAGTATGCTAGAGCATGCTCACATGCAGGCTACCCCATACGGGACTGGAGGGAGGATTTTCCTGCCTGCTGTAAGTATCAACTTTTTAATATTTAAAATGTTTTATTAATTTTTCCAAATACACCAAAATAGCAGATTCAACATAATACATAAAGTAAGCAAAAAGGATTAGGATTAAAGGAGGGGAGGGAAAGAGATTGATCTATCTTCAGGGTCAACCTTAATCAGGGACCTCTAACAAGTTCAAATTACTTGGAATTTTTCGGAATGCCAGTCGTTCATTAGCTGCGAGGTCAGCCTTATTGAGCCAGGCATCGATGTTTGGTAGGGATAGACTGTTCCATTTTTGCAGGATTAATTATTTTAGTGACCAAAGCTGCATATTGGAGCCATGCCACTAGGTAACCTCCACGTACAGTAACTCCTCACTTAACGTCCTCCTGCTTAAAGTTGTTTCGAAGTTATGTCGCTGTTCCATTAGGGAACATACTCGTTTAAAGTTGTGCAATGATCCCTTATAAGGTCATTTGGCTGACTTTACAAGGGAGCATTGCACAAGTTCCTCTTCTCCGCCTCCTCCCCCTCCCTTCTTCCCTCCCTCCCAGCGCTTCCCCTGCCGCCAAACAGCTGTTTGGCAGCACTTAGGACTTTCTAGGCGGGAGGGAGGGAGCGAGCGGGCAGGGCCACCCAGAACTCAGGGGTTTTAGGGGCTGCAGGGCCCTGGCCTGCAGCTCTAACACCCCTTTCAGAATGCAGCCCTGCGAGCATGGGCAAGAGGACTCAGGAAGAGCAGGGGCAGCCGTGCAGCCAGTGGCCAGAGAGAAGTAGCACTTTCTCCTTCAAAGCCAGCCGGAGAGAAGCAGCGCTTTTGAAGGGGAAAGCGCCAGTTCTCTCCGGCCACTGTCTGCGCGGTTGCCCCTGCTCCTCCTGAGTCCTCCAGCCTGTGCTCACATTCCGAAAGGGGCTTTAGAGCTGCAGCCCAGGGCCTGGGGCCCCCTTAGCCCAGGACCCTGCAGCCCCTAAAGCCCCTGCGTTCCGTGTGGCCCTGCCTGCCGGGGGGTGGGTGGGTGGGGCTCCCAGAATCGCGGCTCCCAGAATCGCGGCCATGGGGGCGGTGCTGTGCTGCACAGAGCCTCCTGCACACCCCCTGCACCAAACAGGAGCTGCCCCAGGTAAGTGCTCTGCACCTTGTGCCTGCCCCAGCCCTGAGCCTCCTCCCACCTTCCCCACCCTGAGTGCTCTCCCGCACCCTAACTCCCTTCCAGAACCTGCACCCCCAGCCCTGAGCCCCTGGGGTAAGCCAGGGGCACCTCCCCACTACAATACAGTACATAGTGCCTTTTGTCTGCCCCCCAAAAATTTCCTTGGAACCTAACCCCCAGCATGTACATTAAATCTAATGGCAAAATTGGATTTGTTTAACTGGCTCTGTCCCCCAGCCTGGAACAGTACCTGGCCTGACGGTGCCTGCGGGGGGAAAAGGGGCTGGGATGGGATGGGCTGGGATGGCTTAATGGAGGAACCCTAGCTGCTGCTGTCTGCTGTGGTGACCTGCGGCCACTCTGGCACCGGCTGCTGCAGCGATGTGGCAGCTCTGGTGCCTCCCTGCTGGGGCTGCTGCTGCTACCGAGGGGACGCCACATGCCGGCTCCTGTTCCCCCTCACCACCATTCCCATATCCCCTTCTATTCTCCATCGCACCCCACTTCCCCTCCCCACTGCCCCCAGCCCCATCCCTTTCTCTTCCCCTGCCCTACTCCCCCCTTCCCCACTGTCTCTTCTCCCCCTCCCCTCAGCCCTGCCCTGCCCCTCTTACCCTGCCCCCGGTAGGCACTCACTCTTGTACAGGAAACAGATGGGCACTAGGACCCAGAAGGGCAACATCCAGCTGCCGAGGTAGCAACCTGGAGCAGCTGCTCTGTTTTGTTCCCCATCCTGGCCCAGCCAGCTGCCTGGCTTGCTCTGCTTGGCCTACCTTTGGGAGAGGCACAGTTTGGGATGGGCAGAGCCCTCACCCCCCATAGGCCGAGCAGAGCAAGCCCTGCAGGGCAGCTCGGTACTTGTTGAAATCGGGAGGGGGGGAGTGGCACATGACCTCATGTGCCCCCCCACACCTTACCTCTGTTGGGGGGGGACAATGCCCCTCCTGCACCCCTTCAAACTACCGCCATGGTCTGTGTGGGGACCACTATATTTGGAAATGTGACTTCTGGTGAATAAGCTGTAGTTTCAGGTCTATAGTTGCTTTTTTAATGTTAGGTACAATTGTATTCCATTGAGTTGGAGATAGTAGTAATTGGATACAAAACTAAAGCATATTTAAGATTTTTTAAAATGTTATATTCTAAGATATGCAGTGTTGCTGTGGTCATGATGGTCCCAGGATATTAGAGAGACAAGGTGGGTGAGGTAATATCCTTTACTAGACCAACTTCTGTTGGTCAGAGAGACAAGCTTTCGAGCTACACAGACCTCTGCTTCAGGTCTGGGAAACGTACTCAGAGTATAACAGCTAAATACAAGGTGGAACAGATTGTTTAGCATAAGTAGTTAACACATATTTCAGGGGACCATTTAAGGTGAAGTGGCCCCATTAACATCTCTCCAGTCATAGGGGAAAATAGAATAGAGACACTGGATTTATGGTTTATTACAGCATTCTATAAGCCCCCACTTAATTCCCCTCCCCCCATCATTCCCCTCCCCCTTATGACTGGAGAGGTGTTAATGGGCTTTTAAAAGTAGATTTATGTAACAACAATTAACTATACCAGAAACAGTGCACAACTATTTATTTGGTAAGATGTGTTGTGTTTCAAAAAAACAAATTACCGATGAAGGTTTTCTAACTTATAAAAGAAGCATAATGCACTAATGTCCAGTGTAATTTGTACACGTTTTAGCTGAAAAGTGTGAAGACAGTTTTGTTCATCGGGATTGCATTAGTTGTTGCCCCCCAACCTGTACATTTGAAAAGGATTGTCTTGGCAGCAACCTCCATTGCTTAGATGGCTGTTACTGTCCAGATGGTAAGTATCTAATATTGTTACAGGACATATTAACATTAAATTAATGCCTGACAACACAACTATAGTGTCATAGACTGTATGCTTAAAATTAAAAATCAGAAAAAAATTATATTTTACATATGTAAGCTTCTATTTTAGTTTTTCATATATATCCATACTTTCTTTCCTCCTGCCAATGTTTTATGCATTGGTTGTATTATTATATTCTTCTAAAAGATCATTCAAAATACAGTGCAACTGTGAATCAGACCATATCCGTTAAAACTTGGGTGAGCTATACAAATAAAAAAGTCGCATGAGTGTTAACTAGTGTATCTGAATTTTTCCTAATTGTTTTGAGGTTTTTAAATAGTGCAGATATTTTATGCTGTGTTCAGGAAGATTACCTTCCTTAAAGCTAGACTCAACAAAAGACAAGATGTTGGACTGCAGGGAACAGCCCTGCAATGGACTGTGTGACTCCACCAGTCTTTTCCATTTCAAATTTGTATGGTTCTATGGGATCATTGCGGGTATTATACATGGCATGCACATTCAGGGTGAAATTCAAGCTGCTTCAAAAGACCTGCTCAAAGACCTCCACCACAAATCCCCCCAGTAAGCCCGTTTAAACTAGTAAGTGGTGCACCTTGAGTGGATACCTTGCTTTGGGGTGAATTTCATTCAGTGCTTAATTTGTAATGAAAGAGGGGCTCAAGCAATTAGGTGCCGGGTCTCAAACAATTTTTTTTACATTCCTTACTGATGCAGCAAGCCCTGAGGTGCCAGAGCTTTGAACTGCCACACCTAGAAGTGCCAGGACACAAATTAAACACTGATTTCACCCTTTCACTGAATTGAATTTTTATGCTGCAGAGTGAACAGTGGAGCACAAGGATGGCCCAGCAGTTGAGGCACTGGTCTGGGTTGTGGGAGATTCAGGTCAATTCCCTCCTGTACCATGGACATCCTGTGTGACCTGGGGCGAGTCACTTAGGGCAGGTCTATACTACAGGGTTAAGTTGACCTAAGTTACGCAACTCCAGCTACATGAATAACGTAGCTGGAGTCGACATAGCTTAGGTTGACTTATTGCAGTGTCTATACCACGCTGGGTCGATGGGAGAAACTCTCCCGTCGACTTACCTTATGCTTCTCGTTCTGGTGGAGTACTGGAGTCGCTGGGATAGTGATTGGTGGTCAATTTAGCGGGTCTTCACTAGGTGACCCACTAGGTGACCCAGCATCGATCCACAGTAAGTGTAGACATGCCAATGCTTCCAGGAACAGCATGGTCCCGCCACCTTCTTGACACTGTCCCCACTGGTGTGCTGTGCATGTGAGGTCACACAATGTAGAGCAGTGGTTCTCAACCTTTTTCTTTCTGAGCCCCTCCCCCCACCCCTACATGCTATAAAAACTCCACGGCCTACCTGTGCCACAACAACTGTTTTTCTGCATATCCAGTAGATTAAAAGACTAGGGGTAGCAAGGGGTAGCAAGCAGGGAAATTGCCCAGGGCGGCCCTGTGAAGTTACGTGGCTTGGGCTTCAGACCCAGGCAGCAGGGCTTGGGCTTCAGCTTTCTGCCCTGGGCCCCAGTGAGTCTAATGCTGGACCTGCTCTCTGGTTTATTTTGACGGACCCCTTGAAATCTGCTCGCGGCCCCGTAGCAGGCCCCGAACTTCTGGTTGAGAACCACTGATGTAGAGGACACCATTTTAAAGGGTGAGCCACCCTGCCCCCACTGGTGCAACCGTGCATGAATGGTCATGGTGGAGTGGGGTGGGGTGGGGTGAGGGTGAGGGTGGGGATGGCGTGGCACACTCTTCAAAATGGCACCCTGCATCCATGATTTCATATAAAATCATGCCTGGTTTTGTCTCAGTACTGGACAGGGAACAAACCATTTAGAATCTGGACTGTCTGGCTTAAAACTGGATGAATGGCCTGCTTTGCCTCAGTTCCCCATCTGTACAATGGGGGTCATGGAGAGGAGACGGACACTGCTGGGATAAAACCACCCACTGAAATATCATGAAAATGGTGTCCCTGTGATCAAGTGAACATACAGAGTGAACAGCAGAGCCCTAATATTCCTATCTTGTTTTCAGTTCTTTTTTTTTTTTTAAACAAAAATAGGTCTCGTTATGGACAATGGAACTTGTATCTCTGTGTCAAATTGTCCTTGTATTTATCATGGGAAAGCCTTCTCTGCTGGCTCAAAAATTGAACAAGAATGCAGTCAGTGGTATGTAACCTCTAATCCACTCTTTCCTTTTTCATGTATCCATTTGCCTATATTTAATTCACTGTAGGATGTTTACCAAGTTACATTACATTTTTCAAGGCTATTCTGTATCTGTATCTACAATCCGTGTTCTGTATCTAACTAGAATACAGAGAAAATCTATCCTAAATGAAGTATAAATTTGTGACATGTCTGAAGACTTACAAAATCAATTTTTTCTAAAAACCTGAACAAAAAGCATGTTCTGTGTTTTGTGCTTTATTTAGTACTTGTACCGGTGGCATTTGGAACTGCACTGAACACGACTGTCCAGGTAACTGCATTTTAATTATTCCTATCACCAATATAGGGATCACCAGCGATCTGGGGCTCATAGTGGATCACAAGCTAAATATGAGTCAACAGTGTAACACCGTTGCAAAAAAAGCAAACAGCATTCTGGGTTGTATTAGCAGGAGTGTTGTAATCAAGACATGAGAAGTAATTCTTCCACTTTACTCCGCACTGACTAGGCCTCAACTGGAGTACTGTGTCCAGTTTTGGATGCCACATTTCAGGAAAGATGTGCACAAATTCGAGAAAGTGCAGAGAAGAGCAACAAAAATGACTAAAGGTCGAGAAAACATGACCTTTTTAAAGTTTAAAAATTGGGTTTCTTTAGTCTGGAGAACTTAACAGTTTTCAAGTACATAAAAGGTTATTACAAGGAGGAGTGAGAAAAATTGTTCTCCTTAACCTCTGAGGCTAGAACAAGAAGCAATGGGCTTAAATTGCAGCAAGGGCGGTTTAGGTTGGAAATTGGAAAAACTTCCCAACTGTCAGGGTGGTTAAGCACTGGAATAAATTGCCTAGGGAGGTTGTGAAATCTCAATCATTGGAGATTTTTAAGAGCAGGTTAGACAAACACCTGCCAGGAATGGTCAAGATAATACTTAGTTCTGCCATGAGTGCAGCGGACTGCATTAGATGACCTCTTGAGGGCCCTTCCAGTCCTATGATTCTATACCAAATATGTGGCCCAGAAGCTGCAAAAGATAACAGAAACAGATATGCATTAGGGGTTTGGGATGATAATAAGCAAACAGGAAACATTAAAGAAATGGATGCAGACAGCAATGATTAGACCACTGGTATGCTGATTATCTGACCATATCATCCTACTGTTACCTTGTGCTTCCCCCAATCTTTTTGTTGTATCCCCCTGCTGTCTCTTGTCTTAGACTTCATGTTCTTCAGGGCAGACACCATCTTTCTATTGTGCATGTACAATGCCTAGCACAATGGGTCCATGATTAATGCCTAGCACAATGGGTCCATGATTGGAGCATCTAGATATTATCATAATACAAACAGTGATAAGAGCACATCATCCTGGTACTCAGCTTACTCTGCATAGAGCAACAGGTTAATTTTAAGATAACAGGCCTCATTTTTAAGGCCTCCATTGCTTTGGACAAAGTTATTCAACATCTATTCAATAACTCCTGTACCTCAGGAACCAAGATCTCCCTTGACAGTTACATTTCATAGAAATGATAAAACTCAAAATCAGGAGGTCAAATTCATGAAAGTGGGACAGAGCTTTCCAGGCAACTGTCTCTAGACTATGGCACTCCCGGTGGAAGGATAAGATTGACTACCTACCTAACCTCCTTCAGAATGCAATGCACGACTCATTCCCTTTTAATCTATCCTTCCCACAACAGCAACAACTAAGAAAAGGAAAATAAAAGGGAGAAACATGCTCTCTCTGCCTCAGTCTGACATGCAGAGAAAAGAGGAGGAAAAGTATTCCAGGAACCTCGCGAGAGGTAGTGGGGGGATGTGTGTGAGAGGGGTGCAGAATATAGTCTTCTTGTTGGGCTTTGTCTTGCATTAATTCTTCTCATTTTGAAGGGGGAGGGCACTCAGATACTATGGTGACATGTGCCTGATTAGAACCTAGGGGTGCTGCACATGTAAAACTGCATTTGATTAGGTGGTTTCTGATGGAAATGTAAGATGTGATACTTCGCATGCACTAGATGTGGCACCAGACATCATGATAGCTAGATAGATTTAAACTAGGCAGGATAATGTGCTTGAGAACATATGGTAGGGAAATGTTCCTGCATTGCCTCTTTTCCATCTCCGACTCTATGATCTGGCTCTATGCAAATGAACTTTCCTATTTATTGAATGTTGTTCTTTCTCTCAAGCTGAGTGCACCATCGTAGGTGACTCTCATTTCACAACATTTGATGGTCGTCATTATACCTTTCTTGGGATTTGTCAGTATATTCTGGTAAAAGGCACTGGGAAAGACAAATTCACAATCACTTTACAGAAAGCTCCATGTGATCAGGTAAGGTCACACTTGAATTTGAGATGATAAATGGGTACATAAAAATTTCAGGTAATCTTACATAGCCAGCCAATGTAAATTAACTAGGCAAGCTTAGTAGTAATAATGTCAGAAATAAAATTGAAACAGTTTTGCTGCTTTTTACATTGATGAGCTAAATATAGTTTGAGCATGATCTGTGTTTTATTTCAATTACCACTATTGCCCTTTGTAAAATTAATTGCTGCCTTTCTGGAATTAAGTCAACAGACCTTTTCATTCATGCATGATTACACAGGTATCTACATATTTGGTTACAGCCTGAGCAGGTGTCTTAGACAGAAAAACACTCTTACTGACAGGACTGATAGGTTTAATATACTGCCAGCTAGGTAAGAGAGATTTCTTAGCAGTCTGACACACTTATTTGTTAATTTATAGGATATCACATTCCTTGGAACAGAATGTTTAAGAAGTTCACAAAAATATTAAAACGTTAACTGCCATCCATATCAATTTGTGGCTGAAGAGTTCAGGATATGTTATTGGTCTGAGTTAACAGCAACCTTAACTTTTAATTTCAGTCGTTTTGAAAAAGTTAAATACTTGACATTATTTTAACATACCTTTGGATGAACAAACTGAAATTTAATTCAGTGTTAGTAAAACACTCTTTGTATCTTTCTGTCTGTTGATAAAATTCATTTTCACTCAGAACCTCGACCATGGCTGCATCCAGTCTGTAACACTAGTGCTTGAAGATGATATGAGTAAACAAGTGACTCTTACCAGGGATGGTGAAGTCCAAACTGGCCCTAGCCAGGGTTTTAACTTTAATGGTAAGAAAAACATGGATTAGAGTTCACATTCTTGCCTTCATATTTTCTAATGCTTTTTATTATACTTTTGTACAAGTAAATAATTCCTTGGAAGGCCCAAACCATGAAAGGTGCTAAGTACTGTTAAAAGACTTAACCTTCTTAATTTTAATAACCTATGGAATGCTGCGTATACTTTAGATATAATTTATGTAGGGGTGGGGAATCCCTGTGTTATACTTCCAAGGACACCTACAGATGTCAGTCATTCTGATTTTTTTGCCGGATCGTCCTGATGCTAAAGGGATGGTCCTACTTATTCTTGAAACATGTTGCAAGCCAAAATGCAAACGAGGCACAACTTGGTTTAATGGCATCTGCATGGTTTGAGAGCTAAGAATGCATGAGTCTTGACTCTGATACTGATTTGCTGTGTGACTTTGGGAAAGTTAGTTCACCTTTTTGTCTCATTTCCCTAACTTTTAAAACTGTGAAATATTTACCCGCCTCAGAGGGTGGTTTGAGGATTAACGAGTGAGAATCTAAGGTTGAAGCTAGCATCTGATTATGTCCACTTCTCAGACAAACTTGTTAAGATGTTTGTGAATATGTATAAATGAGTTAGTTGCAGGTCTGGACTTACCATGAGGTGAACTGAGGCGGCCGCCTCAGGTGCCAGACTGTTGGGGGGTGGGGGGCGCCACTAGGACCCAGAGTGTAGAAAATTGTGTCTGCTGCTGGTGCATATGTATTCTCTCTGCTCTACATGCACAGAGATGGTGGAGTGCTGTGCTGGAGGAAGGAGGGCACAAGAGACATAACAGGCAGGCAGGAGAAAAGGTGAGAGGGAATAACAGAAAGCAGCAGGAGCTGCAGGGAGAGAGAGGAAGAGAAGGAGCCTCTTATGTACCTCTCTAGCACCCCCAGGAGCCTGGACTGATTCACACCAGCTTCTCAGGGAGCTTCCTGTTTCCTGCTGCTTCCCTGAACCCACTTGAGGAGAACAGGCAGTCAACTGAAGTAGTAGGAACCAGTTAGGTCCTTAAGACGCTGATGTTTTCCCTCATTCAGGCCCTGCTACCAGCCTGCTTATTTGTCCCCTTCAACTGCGTGTTGAGAGCCACTATAGCTGGCACAGAACAGCAGTCATGAGTGAAAGAAGAAAACGCCCCTCTAGGGCAGCATTCAGAAAAAGAAAGAAAGCAAAGGAAGCTTTTCTATCTAAGCAGGAAGGAACTCTCCTGAGATACATAGACACAAATGTTCACGGTGAGCCCTCTGGCCCCAGTGAGGATGTGAATGGTGAGGAGATGCCTGATCTTCCAGTTAGTCAGAGTGCAGGTGACCTGGCAGCTACTGCAGCATCCATATCTCCATCTCAAATGGATGTAACCATGCACATTCCTGAAGAAAAGTGTAGCTCAGAGAAGAGTGTGGTGGAGGAGCAAGAAACAAGCTGCTGCTCAGTTTAGTTCCTGAAGTCTAGATAATCCAGGACTGTGGACCCTCTTGAGCAGTAGCCTGAGGGACTTCCTTGTACTGCATGGGCCACAGCAAGTGAAAAACTTCATGTTCCCCCTCAATGAAAATAGAAGTTTCCATCCAACACATTATTGGCGTGAAATCCCCAATGGTGACAAAGTGGAGAGGCCATGGCTTATGTACTCAAAAACCCAGAATGCTGCATACCGTTTTTGTTGCAAACTCTTCCAGTCTAATGTTCCAGCCACATTGGGTTCTACAGGAACAAAGGACTGGAAAAATCTGGCATGCCATGAGAAGGCAGCAAATCACCAGAAAGCATTCCATAGGTGGAAAGAGCTTGAGATGAGACTAAGGTTAAAGGCCACCATAGATGATCAGCATCAAGAGAAGATTGCATCAGAGTCTCTTTACTGGCAAAATGTTCTGAAAAGGCTCATTGCCATTATGAGAATGCTTGCTACCCAAAACCTAGCACTGCGTGTCACTTCAGCTCAGCTGTATGTGCCAAACAATGGAAACTTCCTTAAAATTGTGGAGCTGATGGCTGAGTTTGATGTTGTACTCCAGGAGCATCTAAGAAGAGTCACCACCCAAGAAATATACACACACCACTACCTTGGAAAAACAATTCAAAATGAGACCATACCAGGTACTGGCAACAAAAGTCAAACAGAAGTTTGTGGCAGATCTGAAGTCAGCAAGATATTCCTCTGTTATTCTGGACTGCACACCTGAAATCAGCCATACAGAACCAATGACTTTAATGGTGTGTTTTGTAACAACAATAGAATCTAGTGAAAATGTCCCTGCAATGGTGACTGTCAGAGAGTATTTTCTAGAATTTATTGACATTGATGATACTATAGGAGCTGTTATGACAAATATGCTTCTTAAAAAGCTGGAAGATATGGGAATTGCGATAGCTGACATGAGAGGTCAGGGCTATGATAATGGTGCCAACATGAGAGGAAAGAACAGAGGAATGTTCCGAGAGTTAAACCCTCGAGCTTTTTTTGTCCCGTGCAGTTCTCATTCATTGAACTTGGTGGTCAGTGATGCAGCATCAGCTTCTCATGAGGCTGCTGAATTTTTTAATGTAATTCAAAGCATCTATGTATTTTTCTCTGCATCAACTCATCGATGGCAAATTTTGAAGCAACATCTGGGAGCATCCTCTCTGACACTGAAACCACTGAGTGCCACATGATGGGAAAGTCAAGTGGAGGCAATAAAGTTTATCAAACACCAAATTGGGAAGATAGATGATGCCATATTTGCCATTATGGAGGATAATGCTATGACAGGAACTGTTCTTGGGGGAACAGTGGCAGAAGGAAATGGAATCACCAGAAACATACATAACTTCAAATTTCTGTGTGGCTTAGTGTTATGGCATGACATACCGTTTGAAATAAATGTTGTAAGCAAGAGACTCCAAGGTGTTGACCTTGATATATCTGGAGCAATGGAACAACTGGACAAAGCAAAGTCATACCTACTGTCTGACCGGTCAGATGAGGGATTTCAAAACGTTCTGAAGACTGCACAGAAGTTGGCAGAGGAACTTCACACTGAAGCTATTTTCCCATCCATTCAAGAATACAAGAGTCACCGAAGAAGACATTTTAATTACGAGGCACGGGATAATCTCATAAGAGACCCCAAACAACAATTCAAAGTTGAATTCTTTAACCAGGTGCTAGATTGTGCAATACAGTCAGTTGAAGAACGTTTCATGCAGCTCAAGGAGCACAGCAGTATATTTGGGATGTTGTATGATATTCCAAAACTCCTCACTATACCTGAAGAAGACCCACACCAGCAATGCAGGACACTAGAGACAGTGTTACACATGATGACATGCGCAATATTGATGCGAGTGATTTAGGTGATGAACCGAAAGCCCTTTAAGATACATTTCAGCAGGATCAAAGGCTGTTCTGGAATATATGTGCACAAATAAGATGACCACCCTCTTTCCAAATGCTTTTGTTGCTCTGCGCGTACTTCTAACACTTCCTGTAACAGTTGTCAGTGGAGAACACAGCTTCTCCAAGCTGAAGTTAATAAAAACACATCTATGTTCCACAATGACACAGGAGAGGCTGGTCAGCCTTGCAACCATCTCAATAGAGCATGAGCTGGCTACCTTCAGGAAGCAGTTCAAATCTTTGCAATCAAGAAGGCACAGAAAGCACCACTTTGATTATTCAAACAGATAAAAATGCCAGTGTTTACTATGCAGACAAGAAAAGTTACATTTGCTGTTCAGGTGTTTGAAAGTTAAGTGTTACTTAACATTTTGAACAAGGCATTTTAAGTTGTTAGTTCTCCTTTATTGGGGTAGGTAGCAGAGCAGTACCATGAGAGGAGTAGAACAGGAAGAAGGCAGAATTGAGACCTTTCAAAGTTTTGGCCCAAGCATGAGGGCATCATTTGCGCTTCCCACCTCAGGTGCCAAAATGTTGTGGGCCGGCCCTGGTTAGTTGGTTTGGGAGGAAACCCCTCAGCAGAATATTTTAATTATCAAAGACAAATATATGAGGCAAAAAATTCAAAAGTTAAGATGACACTTAAAAAAAAACCCACCCCAAAACATTAAAGCTTAAGCACAGGAAAGTTTGGGAATGTAGTTAAGAAGCTTTACCTTTTTAGCCTCACTACCTTGTGGAACATCCTTGTAAGGTACATATTTGTCTATGACAAATATCTTGGTATTACAGCTAGGACACGTTATTAAACCCTGGATAACTGGGTGTTTTGGCTATTGGCTAGGAACATTTTAAAGTCTTATACACTGAAGTGTTTTGTCTGAAGCTGCAGGCATCTTAAACCATTTTCACTGCAGTTATACAAAAGAGTATTATGTAAATTAGCTGCAAAAGTATACTGGGTTTAAGATGTCTGCAGCTGCAGGGAACCCAACCACTATGGATAATAATTGGCTACAATGATTGTAAAATTTCCATTGCGCACTATAAGGGTTTTATTAGGAAGGTGGACTTGGTGCTGGATAGGGCTTTTGTTTGTATATCAAATGTAGTAGTAATAATTAATAATAAAGTTATTAGGTAGCATATTCTATATAAACACTGCAATGCACCTTACAGACCTCTGTTAATTAACCTCACAACGCCCCTGTGAGTCAAGAAAGTTGTACTATTCCCATTTTGCAGATGAGAAAGCTGAGGTACAGAGATTGAGTGATTTGCCCAAAGTCACACAGGGAGTCTTTGGCAGATCTGGAATAGATCCATATTCTCCCTTGACTCTGTCCTCAATGGAACTGTCGTTCATCTCACCAGAGGCATGATGTTGTTGTTGCTGTCTTGTCAAAGAAGGGAGAATAGTCTCTGGTCTAGTAGCCGACGCGTACAGGAAGGTGATGCATACATTTTTATGCTGATTATGGTACACTGTAGTTGTGGCATCTGGTTCATTTTGTCAATGTTGACGATGTGTGTCACAGGGTTTGGGGGTTGTATCACCATGTGCTCTGCAGCCCTGGGTGTTTTAAAATGTTTTGCTGCTGTAGCTTCCAGCCTGGAATGCTCACAGCTAGCCTACAAACATGCAGGTCACACCCAGAGAGAGTGAGTGTGTGTGTGTGTATGTGTGTGTGCACTAGACAGCCCTGGTTCAGCACTGTCTGACCCCAGCAGTCTGTCTGCCTTCCACCAGCCTGGATTACAACCAGCAAGGTGACCCCAATGCACTCCCATTCCTGAATTTCTCCAAAACCATGTGCCCTGAAGTGTCCAGCCCTCTCCTGGACAACTCAGAGAAATAATAAGGTTTGTTTGGTCCTTTAAAGAGACAAAAGCACATTAAATCTTATTAACTTCACTGGGATGAATATACCCTTCCCTGCAAACACAACACTGAGTAGGTTTATAATAAAAATAAAACTTTTAGTAACAATAGGACATAGGTTAAGTGATACCAACTAAAAGAAATAAATTTAGAAATGGTTACAAGCAAATAAAAGTGAAAATACACATCTAGAAGTTTAAAACCTAATCTAGCAAGGTACAGGCTTTGTTCAAGATGATTTTTCTCACCAGTCTTCCTTCTTCCCAGCCCTGTCTGACTTTCCCCAAGTCATGATCTTCCACAGAAGTACAAGACGCTGACTTCCTACATCTTCCTAGGTGAAAGATCTCTGCCTAAGCAGGTTTCTCATCTATATTCAGATCCCAGAGACTTTAACCCTCCCCCCCCTTTGGTTGAAGGATCCATCTCTCTCAGCTTGCAAGAGCTCTGTCATCTTGTCTGTCTAGTGGTGAATGCCAGAGATGGCATCTGTCTTTGCTTATATCTTCCAAAATTCAATGACCTTGTTTCAAGAGGTGGGGTGACCTCGTGCTGTTCTTTCCTTCTTGTGGTCTTCCCCTCCTCCTGTAAGTAAATGGGGTTTCAATTGTTTTGATTCCACCATGTTTAATTTATATAGGAGACAAGTGAATAGCTGCGACATCCCCTCCTGTCTGGGAGAGGCGTGTTTCTCCCTTTGTTTGGACATTGGCTGTAAAGCTTAATACCTATGAGTATCCATAATTCCTTATATGGTATCAATATATACATTTTACCCTGCTATTAATTAGTAGTGTGTCAGAGGCTTTCATAAAACACTTCACTCGATACACTTATAATACTGTAATATCGTATACAATCTGTTGATTCAATTGCTTATCACTTAAGGTTCAGGCCCCCTGTCTTTATATCTCAGATAAAGTTTCTCTTTTCTGCTGGAAGCTATTTCCTCCCCCCGCTTAATAGTTTAATATGTAAATAGGCCTTCCTTGTCTCTGCCTGACAACAGGGCTGGTCAGAGATGCAAATACACATTTGTTTGTCTAGGGCAGACTTGTTTGCCAACTCCACCTGACATGCCTGGTTTAAACAGCATATATCCATAACTCTTAATGCACACCATGTACATATATCGCACAAGAATATTAATGATCAGTGAGTTATTAATTTTCCAATGGCAAATTACATGACACCTTTTAGATACCGATTATAATCATAGTGAGTTGGGTGTAGTTAGGGTGACCAGACAGCAAGTGTGAAAAATCAGGACGGGAGTGGGGGGTAATAGGAGCCCATATAAGAAAAAGACCCAAAAATCGGGACTGTCCCTATAAAATCGGGACATCTGGTCACCCTAGGTGTAGTGAGTATTTAGGCCTGAGAAGAGTTGCTGACACAGAGTAGTGAACAACAATTGGGCCTGTCACAGTGTGGTACACGGTTGTCTCCATTAGTTTTGGTGCAGGGTGGGCAGGGATATTTGGAGTGTTCTGAGGTTGTGTATGGTCCATTAATTGCATTTCTATACTTTTCAAAGTTGTTGTTTTTTCTTTTTTTTTAAGTTGAAACATTTAAAACCATAGGGCTGGTTTCTGTATGGAAATATTTCAACCAAGGAAAAATTACTTACTTTTTTTTTTCTGTTATGTGCAGGGGACATTGAAATTTGGAACCTGTCTTCTTTGTTTGTGCAGCTGAAAACTAGATTTGGATTAAAGATTCAATTTGCTAAAGATGGGGAGAGACTTTATATACAAGTCAATACCAGCTGGAAAAGAAGAACACTAGGTCTATGTGGAACTTTTAATGGGAACTTAAGAGATGATTTTCTGTAAGTTTGTTTTATATATGTCTAGATTGAATTTAATAACAGGTGAAATATTCAGATAAATCTAACCAGCTGACACGGTCATTTCACTAACACTTTCTTATTCTGGTAAACCAATCAGTCAAAAAACACTTGAGTTTAATTACAAGAATCTCAGCTACTTTCTTTTTTAACATTAAATTGGTTTACTCAGTACCCTTTGCAGTGGTTATTTCTCTGTCAAGTTCTTAAGAATCAAGGTGTTTGTGTTTTTCCTGCCCCAAAGGTGAGATGCATCAGTTTTACAGAGAGACAGTGTTGTCTGGTGAGGTTGAGAAGGGGCCTGGAAGTCAGGATTCCTGATGTGAAATTCTGCCCTATTGAAGTCAATGGCAAAACTCCCTTTGACTTCAGTGGGATGAGGATTTCACCTCTGGACTCTATTATGTGTAAAACAGTGACTATAACTTACCTACTTCGCAGTGAAATTGCTTAACTCACTAATGTCTGCAAAGTGTTTTGAGATGCTTGGGTGCAAGACAATATATAAATGTAAATGATTATTTATGACAGTGCAATCATAGAAAAATGAACAACTAGAGATTTATCTAATATACAGAATACATCTCATATATAGAATATAGCTATATTGTGTTTCTCTATTTTGTATTAAAAATGTAGGCTCTGAATTGATCAAGGGATTGTTTTAGTCTGTTACATCTTGTCTGTGGTTTGAATTGGCAGAGGTCAGATCTATGTCTGCCAAGATCATGATCGCGCTGTTCTATTTGCCAGAGAGCATATTAGTTAACATATTTATCATTAGTCAAACAGAAAAAATCCATTGAGCAGCTTGGTTGAGTCTAGCAGCATCTTTATTCTCTCTACTAGATTTAGTGGCAGCACTCTATAGGAATTACTACAGGGGTTTCAGAGGACAGAGAGACGATTCATTCCCAAGTTGAGTAAAAGCAAATATTTAACAGAAGGCAGGTTTTGTATCATTGTTTAACTCCTTGGCGCCGGAGGTCAGATTTCCTTGCATGAAGTCCACTGCTGGCGACAGATTTACTGGGAAACACCAGCACAAAAGGATTAACAATTTCTTTATTTCTTGGTTGTATTGGGGTTGCAGCACCAGGAAGGTAGTGAGAAGTACAGTTGATGGGATCTTGAGTCATTTCATGGCTCTCTGTTGGGGGGATGAAGTTGGCATACTTTTACCAATAAATAAGTTTCACTTTTTAGCAGATTCGCTTTTTTTTGGTAAAACGTTTTGTTTTCTTTTGATTTATTGGTTTTTTTTTAAACAAAGGAAAGCAGCCTTTCTGTGACCAGGCTGATTTATCTCGACCATGACATGACAAGAAACTACTCTGTAAATCACTGTATGCCATTCTCCTTTTTAAGAAAGATTAACATGTCATTTGTATATTGAACCATTTTATTCCTGGTATTTCCAGGTAGCTCCTTTGCATCCAAACTATCAGCACAGGACATCAGAGCCAGGAAAAATTACAGTATCCAATACTGTTACCATCCTCCCTTGATTTCCAAACATTATTATTACTTGATTTTTTTCCTTAAATTTTATTAGGATTGGCACAACTGTAAACTAGAAGAATCCCTTAATCACAAAGGATACCCTTTCCTCTTCCCTTCAGTTCTACTTCTCTATCTTCCTGAAAATCCTTCCAACTCTATCACAGTTCTTTATAGAAAGAGTATTTGTTTGACATATTGAATACAAAATTAAAACATCATTGAGAATTGGCCATTTGTCAGCTTTTTTGATGCTTCACTAAACATGTGAGTTTTAGCAATGGTCAAATTCTGCTCTCCTTCATGGCTCATCCAACTCAGCTATGACTGTACTTGCTTTGGGCGGAAGTGAGGTCAGACATTTCTGCATCAGTAAAATATTAGCTGAGGCTGAACCTGACTTTTATTATACTTTTTTGAAAGCTAAAAAATGTGGAGACTGCTTTTTTGAATGATGAATTTGCTTACGTGTTTGAGGTTCTTTGACTTGCTGAGCCTAAACCATGTGGCCAGTAGAGACAGCAGGACTCATTCTGAATTCTTTTTCTCAGAGGAAACAGCTTAAGTTTATCTTCATATCCACAACAACAGCTAGTGTCTATTACTTATGTCAGGGCTTGGGCCCTGGGGTTACCTTGGCTATCACAGGCAAGAGTTTATGGGCCACGTGACTGCTCCAGTAACTTATGAGCTGATGAGAGAAACTTTTATTTTAAAAAGTTAATGCCTTTGATATGTTGTGAAAAAGAACATTACACATTTTATACTTAGACCTGAACCTTGGCCTTCCTTTTTAGATCATTTTTTTACAAAGTGATTTGATTTGCATTTAATCATAAAATTGGTCAATTATGCAATGTTTTTCTTTTTAAAGACAGGCGCAAACATAAACAAATTCCCATTGAAATCCACTATAGTGTGCTTCAAGGGTAGATTTTTTTAACAGCTCTCCATTTTGTCATAGCTTGTCTCCCTTGATGTCAATAATAAAGCTGACTTCAAAGGGAAGCAGGCCAACACTGAATACTTTTGAAAATCCCGCCCTAAATTTATATTCCATACTCTCAAATTGTCATTCTTTTTGCACTATGTTGGATTTTTCTGGTTCAAAATCCATACATTGGATGCAGTGTGGCCCAGTGGATAGAGCAGGTCTTAGAAGACTTTAGTTCTATTCCCAGGCCTGCCACTGGCCTGTGAGGTGATCTTGGGTAAGTCACTTCACCTCTCTCTCTGTGCCTCGGTTTCACCATTTGTAAAGTGGGGATAATGCTACTGCCCTCCTTTTGTAACGTACTTGGAGATGTACTGATGAAAAGTGCTAAATAAGAGTTAGGGGTTGTTGTTATTTGCTGGGGCAAGCCTGACAAATGGAGACCAGGGCCGGCCAGAGGATTCAGGGGGCCTGGGGTCTTCGGCAGCGGGTCCCGGGGCGGAAGGACCCCCCACCGCGGGTCTTCAGGGCGCTTCAGTGGCAGGTCCCGGGGCAGAAGGACCCCCCGCCGCCGAATTGCTGCCAAAGACCCGGAGCAGAAGAAGCTCTGGGGCTCCGGGCCCCATGAGAGTTTTCCGGGGCCCCTTTTCCGGAGAGAAAAACTCTCGTGGGGGCCCCTGTGGGGCCCGGGGCCTGGGGCAAATTGCCCCACTTCCCCCCCGTCCCCCTCTGGGCGGCCCTGATGGAGACAGGAAACCCGAAAGAGCATTCATTTCTCATATTTGTTTTCTTGGTTTTAATGATTTTTTTAAAATGTATTATGAATGCTCTGTTCTTCTCTATTGTGACTGAGCAAATACCCTGGCTCCAGGATGCTACTTCTATTTCTAGAATCTATACAAATTTCCAATTTCATACCTAACTTACAGAAGTTTGACATTTATCTGAAAACAGAAATGTGTGTCGACTCTGAAGTGACTCTGAGTCTGCATCTCTCTGGCCCTTTGCAGCATCACCATCTTGAATTCTATGGCAAGATGACAGTGAGCAGTCTGATTTTGCAGATGTGCCCAAGTGATTTAGAGCCACAAAGTCCATTTGGGAATTGGTGTCCCTAAGTCGCCGAGGCAGTTCTGAAAATCACTCCTGAGGTGAACAAGGACATAGTCAACAACCGTTTCCGTGAAATTAGTGGAACTGATTTAAGAATGTTCTAAAGAATTTATAAGACAGAGTTGGTAAAGATGTTATAAAATGTTGGTAATAATGCAAAGAACACTGGACAAGCCTTGATTAAGTATACTTAACTTTCCAAAATGTTTCTGTACCTATACCACACTGAATAGCTGTTAGACTTTCAAAGGTAGTATCTGCCAGTTGTAAAGGAAAATGTTTTCATGAGAGTTCTGTTCATTTTCATTCCTTTATAAAGATTCTGAAACAAAATTCAGTGACAGGGTAATTCCACTGTGGTGTGGAAACAATGGATGTGCAAGAGAGATCTGAACAAATGCAAAGACATAACTAGTCTATGTGAGAAGCCCTTCTACCAGGCAGTGCTGATCTTTTGCTTTATCTTTCCCTCTCCCTTCAGTTCTCCAGCAGGGATGATTGAAGGAACCCCTCAGCTTCATGCCAATGCATGGAAGGTTTCCTCAGCTTGTTTTGCGCCTGTCAACATTCCTGTGGTTGATCCTTGCAACATTAATCAACAAAATGGTACGGTCTCACTTTTGGAATTTTGATTTATCTTAACCACTTTACTAGATCAGGATTATATATATATATATATATATATATATAGAGAGAGAGAGAGAGAGAGAGAGAGAGACACACACACACTATCTC